ATCCGGTCCATCCCAGTCAGGCCCATCGACCACATCTATTGCAGCCAGCTCGCGAGAGGCGCCGCTCACGTCGCCATGCGAGGCTACACCGGCGTGTGCGTCGGAGCACTCAACAGGATCGAAGTGATCATCCCGTCGACGATCATCGCCAGGGGAAAGCGCCGCATCGACACGAGAAGCTTCGAGTGGCAGTCCTGCGTGACGGCCTCCGGGATGCCACCGTCGTTGGCCGGTTTCAAGGATTGAGGCGTGCCGGCACGGGTTCGGTTCGTTGGGGTCGTGGGTCGCGGGGCGGCCGCCCGCGGTGACTGTCATCACCGATGGCATCACGGAGGTGTGTGAATACACGCGAGGCCAGTGCAGGAATTGATACCGGAGCGATTGAGGAGAGGACGGAGGACGAGACGACGAGGACGAGGAGGAGGAGGATGAGGAGGCGGAGGAGGAGGAGGAGGAGGAGGAGGGAGATGATGACATTCGATGAGGGAGGAGATGGGAGCAGGAGGGAGGAGGAGGGGGAGGAGGAAGAGGAGGGAGGAGGAGGGAGGAGGAGGAAGGAGGAGAGAGGAGGGAGGAGGAAGAGGAGGAGGAGGAGGAGGAGGAGGAGCAGGAGCAGGAGGAGGAGGAGGAGCAGGACGAGGAGGAGGAGGGGGGGGTGGGTAGAGGGGGGAGGAGGAGGAGAAGGAGGAGGAGGAGGAGGAGGAGGAGGAGGAGGAGGAAGAGGAAGAGAGGAGGTGGACAAGGAGGAGGAAGAGGAGGAGGAGGAGGAGGAGGAGGAGGAGAAGGGGGATGAGGGGCATGAGGGTATTTTCAGAGGGAGGATGAGGAGGAGGAGAAGGAGGAGGAGGAGGAGGAGGAAGAGGAATAGGAGGAAGAGGAGGAGAAGGAGGAGGAGGAGGAAGAGGAAGGGGAGGAGGACTCTTTGGACTCTTTGGCCGTGCACCGAGACGTGCGGGGGGGAGAGAGCGGGGGGGAGAGAGAGGGCGGGCCCCAGCGGCGCTCCGCCGCCCGCCGCGCCCGCCTCCCGACGCGCGGGAGGGCAGTCGGGGAGAGGAACCCCCCAGACTGCGGGACCGCCCCCACGAAGGCCCGCAGGCCCACCAGAGGGGGCGGACGGCCTACCAGAGGCCCAAAACCGCGGAGGACGAGGGGGGGGGGGCGGGGGGGGCAGGGCCCACCACCAACCGCAGTCTGGACAGACCCCTCCCCTACCCCCTCCCTCAGCAGTCCTCCATCTTCTTCACCATGAACTCCCAGTAGCTGATGACGTCGCGGAGCAGAGCCAAGAACTCCTCGTCTTGCCCGTGCTGCCCCGCCGCCTCCTCGAGGGCCACGAGCTCGCCCGTGATCCTCAGGTTCTCGAGAGCGTGCTCGAGCACCACCTCCTTCTTCAGCTTCTTCTTCGCCGTGCCCGTTGGGAACTCCACCTCCTCCAAGAACACTTCCTTCGTGCCCTTCTCGCGGATGATCCCCATCATGATGTCGTTGGCGAGCCGTCGTCCCGCCAGGACGCGCTCCATCTTGGCGTAAACCGCCGCGTTCTCCGAGTAGAGGCGCTGCCACTTGTCCTCCACCAGCAAGGGAAAGGGCGGCACCGCGGGCAGCTTCGCGGCCTTCCCGATCCAGCCGCCAACGGGCTCCGGGGAAGCGTTTCCGGTGCACGTTGGACGATAGGCCGGCACGCCCAACATCGAAGGGTCGCCCACGCTCTTCGCCAGCTTCTCCTCGTCCGAGTGCATGCCCAGCTGCTCCTCCAGCCGCGCGCCGAGCTCGGCGTCCCCTTCGTCCTGCACCAGGTCGACGTCCTTCGAGTACCACTCGTCCAGGGCGTCTTCCGACTTCGCGTTCTCCTCGTCCACCTCGTCCGAAAGCTCGAAGAACTCCACGGAGCCTGTGAGGCCGACCTCCAGCGAGTCCCCTCTCGGGGCGTTGGGGACCACCTTGGCCTCGCCACCCAGCAAGTCGATCACGCCACCTCGCGCGCCGGCGACCTGCTCCTGCGACGCCTCTTCCTGCACCTGCCTCTCGACTCCTTGTCCTTCTTGCTCTTCTTCTCCTTCTTCACCTTCATCTCCTTCATGCCCTTTTCCTGCTCCTGCGGGTGGCTGTCGCCCGAGGCTGCCATGGGCCTGGCGCCAAGCCACTCCACGGGCGGCCGTCCAGCAGCCGCAGAGCTCCGCATCACCGTCGTCTCCTTCACCTCCTCCTGCGGGCAGGGCATGGAATCCCACACGCCTGGCGGCGCGTCCAAGATCGCGAGGCGCGGTGCCTGCGATGGCCGCGGCGCCTGGGGCGGGCGCAGAGGCGGCGGCCTGGCCTGCGACTCCACCTTCGCGTCGTCCGCGATGGCCGAGAGCCTGCGGGTCGGCCTGGCCTTGGGAGGGATTGCCGCCTGCTCCGCCTCCTTGCGGCGCGGTGGGCTGCGCACTGGCCTCGCGCCCAGCGCAGCTCGCACCGCCGCCCCCACCGCCGCCGCGGCGACCTCCGCCGCGTAGGCCGCCTGCTGGTGGGGCGGCTCCGCCGCCGCCTCCGCCGCCGCCGTCGCGCGCGACGGCACGGAGGCTCGCCATGACATCTGAATGGCCCGAGCAGGCGCCGCCGTTCCCAATCACACCTGCCCACCGCGGGGGTTACCCACGGGAAACGGCTAGGAAGGGGAGGAGGAGGAGCATGAGGAGGAGGAGGATGAAGAGGAGGAGGAGGAGGAAGGGGAGGAGGAAGGGGAGGAGGAAGGGGAGGGAGGGAGGGAGGGAGGAAGGGAGGGAGGGAGGGGGGTGGAGGAGGAGGATGGAGGAGGAGGAGGAGAAGGAGGAGGAGGAGGAGGAGGAGGAGGAGTTGGAGGCAGAGGAGGATGAGGAGGAAGAGGAGGAAGAGGAGGATTGTATTTTCAGAGGGAGGATGAGGATGAGGAGAAGGAGGAGGATGAGGATGATGAGGAGGAGGATGAGGAGGATAGAGGAGGAGGAGGAGGAGGAGGAGGAGGAGGAGGAGGAGGAGGAGGACCAAGAGGGAGGAGGGACGAGGGGCAGAGGGAGAAGGAAGGGGAGGGGGGGCGACCAGGAGGCAGGAGGGACGCGAGGCGGAGGGAGAAGAGAGGGGGGAGGGGGAGGCGAGGGGAGGGAAGACGAACACCAGGAGGCACGAGGACTAGCCTCGGCCTCCTCCACCTCCTTCGCGCCACAAATGGCGCGGTCGAGACCGCGAGTCGGCGTTTGCCCTTGTTCTGCCGTGCCTCGCCGCGCCCGCCCGGCGAGCTGCGCGACGGCACTGGCAATCTTGCCGAGGCCCCTCGCCCCGCAGACGGTGGTGGCAGTTTTCCTGGACGGTGCCGTTCTGACGTTTTTTTTCCGTTGGGGCGGCCAAGAGGGGGGGAGGAGGAGGAGGAGGAGGAGGAGGAGGAGGAGGAGGAGGAGGAGGAGGAGGAGGAGGAGGAAGAGGAGGAGGAAGAGGAGGAGGAGGGGCCAAGAGGGGGGTGATGACTACTGGGGGGAGGGGAAATCATGGCGGGGGCCATGGTATCTCCTCAGATTTCATGGCGCCTTTTCTTCTTTCATTACGTCCCTGCCCTCCCCCCGTGGGCCGCGCACATGCCGCCAGCCATGATTCGCACCCCCCCCTCCTGGACGCCCTCCTCTTGCCGCCACCGATTTTCACCGAGCGCGCTCCATTGCTCTGAAGGTGCCTACCCGCACACGCCCGAAAAACCTATGATCATCTCGGTGCAGTGGTCGTATCCCCCCCCCCGCAGCGGATCCAGGCCAGTTGCGAGCAGTTGGTTTGCGAGCAGTGGAACGCGCTTGTTTTTTTTCCTCGCATGCGGCAGACATCGTCTCAGAGCAACGGCGAATCACATCCACCTCCTTCCAGTTCCATCCATCCCCCTCCCTCCCGCGGCATCTCCCTTTGAATTCCTTCACTCCCTTTCTTACTCGAGATCCTGTGCGATGAGAGCGACGGGAGGGAAGGCGATGGGGGGAAGGATGGGGGAGAGGGAGAGGAGGAGGGGGGAGGGAGGAGGGAAGGAGGATGGAGGGAGGCGACGAGGAAGGAAGGAGGCAAGGGAGGGAGAAGGGAGAAAGGAGACGTGGGGAAATGGGAGGCTGGAAGTGGAGGAAGGAAGGGTGACTGGGCAGTGTATCCTTACCCCCACCCCGAGGGGCATCGCGGTCCCCCCAAGGCGCCCTTCCTGGGGCTCTGTTGGGGCCCTATTGGGCGCGCATGGACAGCTCCTACTAAAGGCTTTCTTGCTCTCATCGATCATACAGCTAGTTAGGTCCCCTCATCTCATGTTATCGTCAGGATCCTTCATTCGCGGCCCTGGAAGTTGTCTCCTGGAGCTCTCTTGGGGCCCTCCTGGGGTGCTGACGGAAGCCTTGAGGGCTGCGTCATGGCCCATCTGTTGAGCCATCTTGAGGCCGCGGAGGCCCGTCGGACACAGAAAAGGGGACAAGGCAAGGCCTTCGCTTAGAACACCTCAGGTGCGCTGGCCCCTCGGGGGCCTCCTCGGGAGGCTCCGTGGCCGCCTCGAGCTGTCTCGGGGCTGCCTCGGGGCCTCTTGGAGCCGAGCCAGCCCGGACCACAGCGCCCCGTCTCCGCGGCCACCTGCGGCAGTCCATGGCCAGATTTCAAATGAGGAAAAACCACCCGGACCGGACAATGGGCGTTTATCAAATGGTCTTGGGCGTTTACTATTGAGCCCTGCCCTGATCGATTCCTTCAGTGGGGGCGTTTAGTAATCGGCTTCGCCTGTCGGGGTTCTTATTATGGGGGGGGGACCTTCTGCCCTCTCACATTCGAGCAGAGGAAGGGCCGAGGCAAGCACTTTTGCTTGCCATCGCTCGGGCATGTGCACCTTTGCTCGGCGAGGGCGGTGGCCAGGGAAGGGCCGCGGCAGGCACCCTTGCGGGCCCGCCGAGGGGGGCGGCGGGTGCAGTGGCGTGCGGCCAGTTTCCTCCTCCTCCTCCTCCTGTTTCCTCCTCCTCCTCCTGATTCCTCCTCCTCCTCCTCCTCCTCGAGGGGGGCGGCGGGTGCAGTGGCGTGCGGCCAGTTTCCTCCTCCTCCTCCTCCTGTTTCCTCCTCCTCCTCCTGATTCCTCCTCCTCCTCCTCCTCCTCCCTCCTCCTTCCTCCTCCTTCCTCCTCCTCCCTCATTCCTACCCTCCTCATCCTTCACTCCTCCTCCTTCCTATTCCCTACTCCTCCTCTCTTCCCTCCTCCTCCTCCTAATCCCCTTCCTCCTCCTCCTCCTCCTCCTCCTCCTAACTCCTCTCCCTCCTCCCTCCTCCTCCTCCTCGACCGCTCGCCCGGGCAACCATTGTCACAGGTAGCTGCGTTGGTTTGCGTCCGTCTGCCCAGGGGGGGCAGGATTTGTCCGCCTCAGCCGGCGCCTGCAGCAAGCATCAGCGTTCGGTTGTTGCTAGAAGTACCCCTGGCCCAAGGTACCCCCAGGATTCTCAGGGTGGCCCAGACGGCCTCCAGGGCACCCCTCACGAGGCCCAGAGGGCCCCAGGAGCTCAAACATGGAGCGAAAAGCTGGGGGCACCTTGAGCCGGGGGCACTTCTAGCAACACCCGACAAGTAATCGTGGCGTGGCCCGAACCCGTTTTTAGCCGAATCTTTGGCCGGAGGTTCGGCCACGTTCGCAGGACAGCCTTGCGGCGAATTCGAGTCGTATATATCATCGTTCAATCGGGCATGTCCCTAAGAGGAGAGTATTAAACAAACGAATGGGAACGAATTGTTGATTATTTGTCATTTTTCATCCCAAATCCGCCTGTAGGAGAATCTGCCCGACCTAGTATTATCGCTCTCCGCCACCATTTCTTGCAACAATCAAAAAACTGCGTGCGGCCAGTTTCGACGCCGTGCTTGGGTGGTGGACAAAAGGGTCCCTTTAGAACCCCTTGGCGGCGTCTTGGGGGCCTCCTGGGCGCCTCAGAGACTTGGGCAGTTCTAGGGCAGGATGGACCCATAGGACCATCTTTCGAGCTATTGGAGTTTCGGATGCAGATGCCTCTGGGGGAGTCATGCGGCGATCCGCTGGAGCGCCAAGAGGCGCCCGAGAACTGCAGGAATCTGGGACCAGGGGCCCTCAAGGATCACCCACAGCAACCAATGCAGAACTCGAAGGTACCGGAGGGCATTTCAAGTCGTACCTAGTGTTATGATGTTCCAACCTACTTTAGATTTGATCACCAAAAAACAAATCGATCACCAAGAAAGTACCGAAACTGGAGGGTTTTCACGTGGTGGGCCCTGGAAGGCGATATTCGTTCGACACTGTTTCGGTACTTCTCTGGGTGTTAGTGTGATGGGAGGAGCAACATGAAGCTAGTGGTGCGGTGGTGGGTGGTGTTCCTCCCTCCCCTCCCCCTCTGTCTCTCTCTCTCTCTCCCTCCCTCTTCTCGCCTCCCTCACGGGCGCGTTCTCTCTCGCGGGGCGGGTTGGAGAGCGCAGGGGCGGGGGGACGGAAGGGGAGAAGCGGAGGCGGAGGTAGGCAACCACATTTTACGATGTTCCAACCTACTTTAGCCTTGACCACCAAGAACAATTTCGAGCACCAAGAAAGCACCGACATTGGAGTGCTTTCGCGCGTCGGGCCCTAGTGGGCGGTATTCGTTCGACGCTGCTTCGATACTTTTCCGGGTGCTCGGAGACGTGTCTTGGGATGCGGTCCTGAAGTACGATGGGAACACCGTAGACTTCCTCCTCCTCCTCCTCCTCCCCCTCCTCCTTCTCCTCCTCCTCCTCCTCCTCCTCCTCGTCGCCGTCCTCCTTCTTCTTCTTCTTCTTCTTATTCTTCTTCTTCTTCTCGTCGTCCTTCTCCTCCTCCTCCTCCTTATCCTCCTCCTCCCCCAAATTCTCGGCCCAGAGTGGGCCTGGCCACCTCCGAAGCCCGCAGGAGGCCCGCCCTGCACATGCGTCCCGGCGGTGTGGGTGCGAGCGGTGGTCGCAAGCCGTCGATGTCTCCCGGGACCCGCTGGGCGACGCGGGGCTTACAGTGGGGACGCGCCCCGCTGTGGGGACTTACAGTGGGGACGCGCCCCACAGTGGGCGACGCGGGACTGACAGTGGGGACTTACAGTGGGGACGTGCCCCAAGGAATTGTTGTTGTTGTTGTTGTTGGTGTTGTTGTTGTTGGTGTTGGTGTTGGTGTTGGTGTTGTTGTTGTTGTTGTTGTTGTTGTTATTATTGTTGGTGTGTTTGTTGTTGTTGTTGTTGTTGTTGTTGTTGTTGTTGTTGTTGTTATTGTTCTTGTTCTTGTTATTGTTCTTGTTATTGTTCTTGTTATTGTTCTTGTTCTTGTTCTTGTTGGTGTTGTTGCTGTTGTTGCTGTTGCTGTTGCTACGGTTGCTGTTGGTGTGTTTGTTGTCGTTGCTGTTTTTGTTGCTGGTGCTATTGTGTTTGTGTTTGTTGTTGGTGGTGTTGTTGGTGTTGTTGTTGAATTCTCACTTCAGAAGAATAATTATTGTTTATCCCCCCCGCAGGTGCATATTGTTTTT